ATTCCAAGTGATGATACCATACGCAGTCCGACATCCTTCTCTCCGGTCTGTCGGACTGGTCTGGTAGACGCGTTCGCTGCGCTCCGGTACATAGCATCTTTTCATCTCGTCTGTACATACAATGCCCCTTGATCCACCCATAATTGAACCCCAGATGTCCGCCCGCGGAGACTTTGCATCGGACGGAATGTGACGCCACTGAATGCAAACCCTGACTTATCCTGGTCTGTGCGTGTTTCGGACGAATACATTCGCGACATTGTTATCAGGATATACGTGCTGCATCCAGCGCGTCGATCACAGGCTATTGACCAAGATTGTTAGCTCAGGGTATGTCCACTCCGCTCGCACGAATGACAGCATACCGCGACGGCGTCCTCCCACAGTGCCTTTCGCACGACGTCCGCTAGACTGGATTTGCGCTGCCGAAACATAGTCGTCTGCCCTGGTTTCCGCCTTGTCCACTCCGGAGCATCGAGGCTATCACTCCATCCCTGGTACCTGTCCAAGACAACGCGGCGGCAGGCCTCCACGCTATGTGATTCCCGGAGGAGTGCAGCGCCCGTCACGGTGAGATACAATACGAATGTATCGGGATCGCTGAAGTCGGTGTTATCGTCGGGCGCCTGAAGGCTGGTCAGATGGGGTTGCCTGGATGCAAGTACAAGTTCGAGTCTGTTCGACTCACTTCGAATTGCTGCATCTGGAGTGCACATTGCACCTCTTCTGGCTCGAGCGAGCATCCGGAGTCAATGCTGTAGTCATCCGCTGCGCTAGCGGCTATCCAGCTATCAACGGGACCGGGCAGACCGAGCCTTTCCTTGCGGTACTTCGCGCGCGCTTCTGCATCAGAGAGACGGCGCGGTAGAGAAAGACGCGGCTTCACAGTGGTCCTTTTGACCTTGGGCATGGCGCTATAATGGCAATGGTGGTGGAAGGAGGGCGTGATGACCTGGTTGCACAGCGCACTGAGCTTCTCTTTGAGGATTGTCGCGATGCACTGCTACGTCTATCGTGACCGATCTACTGAGGTAATCGGGAAAGCCATCCTCGTTATCGCACCGATCCTAATATCCTAGAAGTAACAAGCATTGCCTCGAGGTGGGAGACCTGGACTACTGAGGACCAGAATGGCAAGTCGGGGATGTCACCTGCCGTTTGTGAACGATCTTCAGCTTCGGGCCCGATCCCCGCAACACCACGCCCCCATAGTCTGCCGTGCGCGCAGTGGTTCGTCCTGATAGAATCCAGAGCTTATTTCAGCTGAGATGAAGGGGCACCCTGAATAGGAAGAGACCACTGGCCATTGATACAACGGAGGTATGCATCGTGTCCTGCGTTGTCTGTCAGCGGACATCGGTAGTTACTCCTCACCTACCCAGTGCAACGATGTACATCGCCAGCCAGCCAGCACATGTAGCTCCGGGCCACATATCTGCGGCGATGCTCGTTCTTCCACTCATCGTCCTTTGTCATGTGTGCCGGATGAATGGAGTGATGAACGCCTCATGGGTTACATGGTGTGGAAGATTGTGAAACGCATCCGATAGCAGTTCGCTGCGCGCATTGCACGCACTTTTTACCCTGTAAGATGAAAAATGGCAGCACCTCCCTCCGCCCGCGACGCTCTGTAGACTCTTGAGGGCAACGAAGACAGCCAGGGTGGCGTTGAGTGGCGTCGGGGCGGGGGCGGACCCACAGGAACAAATAGGGAAAAACACCTAAAGAGTCGGCACGTGAAACCCGATTTGATCTGCGGCCCGATATGGGGGACATTTAGACCGTCATGCCGCCTCGTGTCGGGGGTGAGGACAGCGGGACTCCCCCGCAATCGACCTTGCCTCAGTCCTTCACTCACGGACTTCGCGCTGGTGAGGACCTCCCGGTCTTAATCTGCTCGGGGAGCTTGATTGCGAGGTCCTGATCCTCTGCGAGGAACGACCCAGGGCATTGCATGCTACGACCTGCACGACTAGGACCGTGTACGTGCGCCGCTCGTGTCCCCAGCCCGTTATCTGTCTCCGCCGCTGACCCCCATTCGCACAGACTTGTCCACGACTCACCTTCCCTTACGCCCTACCCCCTCCTCCCCTCCACTGAATCGGTACACTCTCCGCTGGCCCGATATGTTCAAGAAGTTGCTGAAGGGTCTCGATTCGGCACCTCCAACGCCCAAGATCGGCAGGATTGAGCTGCCTGAGCTGGGGGAGGGGGATGTATTTTACTTTTCCAAGGCTGAGGGGTCAGCAATCGTCGACTGGTCTTCGGACAGCGAAGGCTCATCGTCGCCGCGCTCACCTATCCTAGCCTGGCATAGACCGTCTACGCCTCAACCGGAGGGTCCCCTCAAGGCGCGGCGCAAGCACTCCACGCCTGTTACGGAGTCTCCACTGAATCCTCGACGCGGATCGGCTTCGTCGTATCATGCGGATATACGGAGGGCGCCGAGTAGGTCGACCACACCTATGGTCGAGCCGAAGTCGAATGGCAGCAGGTCGTCGACCCCACAGCCGGGTTCCTCGAAGGCTGCCGCAGGGCTCGCGTCGCCCGTGCCCGTCAAAGCCGCGCGTAAAGGGATACTGAAACCCTGTAAGTTGACCGCGATCGCGCTCTCGTTCACCACACGCACGTTATCGGGGGAGAACTCACCACGTGTACCATAGCGCCGCCCCCCAAGCCAGTCACGCTCCACTGGCAGTTGCTGCCATACGAACCTGGGCGGTCGAAGAAGTTGATTTATTTCAACGTCGCGTATCCGCCTGGTCTTATCCGCGACCATACGCGTATGCCGCCGGTGTCGCTCCACCAGTCCGAGATGGAGAAGCAGGCGGCTGAGATTCCCCTCGGCGAGATGCAAATACGCTGCTCACAGCTCCCACATTGGGATGTCATCGTTTCTCCCGTGGGCCCTGGAGGCGTACGGTGCATCGACGTGTACCGTGCGATCTACGAGACGTTTCAGAAGGAGCTGTCTGAGACGGAGAGGGACCACTACATACCTCACGGCCGTCGCCAACACTGCGAGGCGGCCTGGCGCAAGCGATGCAAAGAGGCGCCCGGGTTGCCTGAGGTAAACCTGAAGAAGGGCATGTGTCGCATCGATCTACTCGAGGGACGAACGATTTTCATGGGGCTCAGGCGGCCGGTGCCGACGGATGACAAGCCGGATCGAGTCTGGGTGCTGGAGCTTGGGTTTCCGAAGGAAGAGCGCCGCTGAAATCGTTGACGATATTTTGCATGCATACCGTATACGCGCCACCTGTCACGGTCAGTCCAATCGTCTTGCCCTTGGAGCACATTATGCCGACGGCTCACCAACTATGATTCCACCCTGTCTAGGACTGGACTGGATCCTAATACCCACGCTGGATTGCAACACTCATTTTCACTGCGCATCCCATCCACTCTATTCTCGTCATTCATCATGTCGCACCCCCCACTCGCCCTGTGCATCTGTCCTCGCGTTCGACGCAATCACCCCACCTCACGTCGCCCTCATCGCATCTTGTAACATCACCCATCTGTCAGGGCGGTCTTGTTGGCGTGAGACGACGCCCGCTGCCGCTCAGGGACTTCTGTATACTATCACTTACTTTTCGCATGTTCTAGGAGCACATGTCTTCATGCCATGATTTGTAGCGCACCCCAATTCGCATTCTGGCACAGAGCTGCCCTATTAGTAGTCGGAGACAACGGAAAGACCTCAAAATCCATGCGAGACTGCGTGTGCGTCGTCGCAAGCGAGCCATCTAGAAAAGCTTGCCGTTAGTCGTAACGTACGCCAAACCATTGACGACAACAGCGGTGGGAGAGCAGGGCTGATGATCGCGTTCAACATCACGGGCGACGAAGCTGGCGTAGGCGCGTCTGCCACCGGCTAGCAAGCGGGAGTTGTCTGGACCTTGCATGAGAGAACAGGGCGCGACTGCCTCCTCGTGTTTGAGGGGTGCCCCGTCAGGTGAATCTACCACGGCAGCAAGGATGTGGAATCTGGTGAACACTGCCCCAACGGGAGCGCATGAGCTAATGACCCTGTCTAAGCGGCACCGATAGAAGTGGTCAAGGTAGTGCGAAGATCCTTCCAGAGGACGGTATAGAGTTCTGGACCTACCGCAGCGAGGATCCAGTGCAGTTGGGGCCTCGTTCCAATTTGGTATGTACCAAGACAAAGTCGGACGCTATATGCGACTATATTCGCACAGACCTTAACTGGAATCCTTCTGTGCTTCACAGGCACCACAAAACGACCCTGAATGATGAACGGCTACTCGTTAGCCGGCGTGCAAGCTCAAGAATAGAGAGTACGACTTACTCCCGCTGGTTCCATAGCCTAGGCCAATCAATCGTTTCTGTGCACGGCGGGGAATCCACCTAATCGCGCGTTCATTTCCGTTAGCTAAGACAGCATCTCCGGGACGCCGTAAACCTTCGCACAACGCTATTCAAGGCAATCGGACATTACACTTCCCGACGAAGTTGGATGCCGAACTCGATGGCACCAGTAGTTACTTCATCGTGGACGATACGAGGACGCTCAACGCGTAATCTAACCATTCGCGTAGGTGATCTGATGAGGCAAAAGGGGATATGAAGCAGAGAGGTTATGGTCCGTAAGAGATGGATGTGGTCGAGTTGAACTTGCACTGCATCGAGTCAACTGTGGCAGCTAGAACCAGAGGCGCGTCGTGCAGGTCACAACCACGTGATACGTGACGAACGCGTTCAGCGCGGGGACGGAGAACGTCCGATCAACTGGGAGAGGCGTTGCGCAACGCGTTTGCGAAACGCCCCTGCGAAACGCCTCTGCGAAACGTCCGTCACAGTGTTACTTACTGAATACGGTAACTGACAAAGCACCTACAGGGGGCCATCGGGCCACTTGTGTCGCTCGGTCAGCCAAGGGTTGCTCCTAGAAAATACAAGTATATTGCGAGTAACCCTTTTAAATCTCTCATTACAGTGATTTTCCCAAGCAGCAAGCAAGTGGTGGAGGAAATTTTGGATTTAAGTATTAACTCATTCGGATGTAGCGAGGGGCGCGCGAAGTGAGGCGCTTATTGCCTGATTTGGAAGAACTTTCCAAATCGGGTTGCAGGGCGCCCGCGCGCTCGGAAACACAGTGAGAAATCAACCACCCACTGATACAGACTCAACTACTGCTAGTAGCAAAGCCAAGATACTTACTGAGGCTTTGAAGCAGCATATAAGCCAAATGGATGTAATGAAGCGGCTTACTCAGCTTGCTATTCTTGGTACTCGGGCCACAAAAGGTGCGTAACGGGTCACAGTCGGTAACACTTCGTGACGTTTCGCGTTGCGCGTTGCGCGTTTCGGAAACGCCCGTCCCCGTGGATCGGACTTTCTGCGGGGACTCTATAACTCGTTACTCGCTACTGCGCTGCTGGATGCTGCAACTGCGTCAAAGATATTCGAGCTGATAGCAGACCTTCGAGGAACAGATGGGTAAACGAGATTGATAGAGGACTATAATGTTACAGGTACCGTATCAGTGATGTCCAGGGTGTACACATGCGATGCGAACGATCCGACAAGACGTATGCGACAGCGAAACAGAAGGCTAGATAACGAATTCTAACCAAGGCCGTCGTCAGTACGATGCCAAAGACAGGAGAAAGTGGGTGGGTATACTGACAAATTATGGGCGCCGACTAAGACAGTACGCGCCGCCTAAGCAAGCGCGCACGCGCCCTCGTCCCAGTCAATGCGCGGAATAACGCCAACAGCTCTACAGACAGGGCAAGATACTTCGACCTCTTCGCCCTCTTTCTCTTCCTTCTTGTCCTCCCCGCCCCAGCCCGCGACACGCTCCGCACTCACGAGGCACGACGGGTGGAACGTATGCTCGCACACCTTCTCGCTGTTTCCGCCCATCCGGTTGATTGAGATGTTGCGCATGGTCGATGGGTCGATGACAGGGAACGGATCCTCATCAGAAGGGCCGAGACCACAGCTCACATCCCAGCACCGCAGCCCACGCTCGCGCTCCAGACGCTCGACACGCTGACGCAGCGTCTGCCCCGGAGGAGCAGGCAGCGTCCACTGTCGCTTCTCTGGTGGCCGGGCGCGTCCCTGACCGCGCGAGCCCGTTGAAGCCGCACTTGCTGGACGTTGCGGCACAGCTCCAGCGGGCGGGTTTGCATTTGCCTGAGGTTGCGGCGGCTGGACACCGAAGAGGTTCTGCCACATGTTCGGGATGCCCCATGTGCTGGGATTGGGACCACCCGCAGGCGAGTTCTGAGCATTCGGCATAGCCCCGGGCACAGATGCGTTCGCAGCAGGCACAGGCTGGGGATGTTGGGCCTGAGCTTCTTGCGGCGCCTGCTGAGGCGGCGCACCGCTGAACAGACGCTGGAAGAGGTTACGTGTTGCCTGAGCGTCGAGCGGGACATAACCACCAGCGGGCCCGCCCGGTCCGCCCATGACAGGGAAGAAGAGATTGAACTCGAAGGGTATGCCGTCTGCGGTAGGGCCTGGGTGTGGTGGCTGGTCCTGAGTCGCATCTGGGGCACCGGGCTGGCGAGAGTTCGGCATTGACTGGGGAACGCCCTGTGTCTGGGCTGGAGCTGGCCGCGCATCTGCGGTTGCTGGAGCCTGAGGCGGTTGTGCACCAGCCTGCGCTGGCGCCGGACCCTCCGTGGGTGCGGCTTGCTGCTGTCTGCGCCGCCGGGGTGGGGCATAGGTGAGGGACTCGGGATCGATATCGAAGCGGCAAGAAGGACACGTCGTGCGATGCGGCTTCGTGAACCATGGCAGCAGGCAAGACGTGTGGAATACGTGAGCACAGGGGAGCGCTACGACCTTGGGCAGTTCATTCTTCGTGGAGGGCGTGTCCGTTGAAGTGGCGGGAGAAGCCGCTGCATGGCCATCAACATCCATCCCCGCGTTCGCCTCTGCACCAGTACCGGCTTGCTCTTCAGTGTCGAATCCGCCGCCTTCCGAGCTAAGCTTCTCCCAGCAAACGGAACACAGCGAGTCGCCGTCATCGCCACCGAGCCTCTCGATGCGTGATACCAGGCCCTCCGGCACCTCCTCAAGGCCGCGAACAAGCTTCTCAGCCCGCTCGGGGTTATCAATTTCCTCTTCACGCGGCGGGCCGAAGGGGAAGAAGGACATGAAGAATGGTTCCGCTCCCGGAGCGAAGGGGAAGAACTGCGGCGGGAAGCCGGCCATTTGCGGAGTGCCATCGGGGACAGGGTGTGGTCCGGCAGGAACATCCGGGGGAGGGCCGATGTGGAACGTAAGGTTGAACATCGGGAGGGGATGGTTATGAAAGTGATGATGGTGACCCTGACCTTGTGCTTCGGCATCTCCTTGCGGGCCTTGCTGAGGAGCGTCCTGCTCTGGGCCAGGGAAGACGTCGAAGGAGTAGACGCGTTGGTTGCTATACGGCGGCGGTGGATCGTTCGGGGGCGCGTGATGTTGCTGAGGGTGAGCGGCAGATGATGCTGGTCGCGCTTGTTGTGCGCTGGCGTCGTCGGACGGGTCAGGAGAAGTCATGCGCTGACGATTCGTTTCGCGCATGTCCTCCTCATCAACCTCGTCGTCAACGCGCGCACGGCGCGAACCGGTCTGCGGCGATGAGTCAACGTCGGTAGGCAATTGGTGGTACACCCCCGGTTCTACGTCGTGCATGTCGACATCGGTATCCCAATCCGACACCGTGTGGAGCGATGGCATAGAGCCGACTGACTCCGCGTATGCTGCGCGATTCTGCTGTGAAGACGCCTCAGCAGCGGGTAGCGATGAAGACGTAGGTCCATCCTGATTCGATATTGCGGAATCAGGCGTCAGAGGTGAGGTCAAAGAAAGGCCTCCTACAGATCGTGCGACATCCTCTATGGATTGCTCCTCGCGCTGTTGTGGGCCTGCGCGTGACGCGGGGTAGTCAGGGATTGGCTCCAGGGGCGGCATGTCTGCCAAGTCCGGGTCGTCGAGCGGAAGGCTCGGCTCACGAGGGGCTGCGTGCTGGTTGGAGAGTCCACGGACAAAGTTGTGGATGGCTTGCCCAATCTGGGGGTTGGCATCCAGGAGGTGTTGCAGGAAACCGCCAGCTGAATGTTGGTTATCCATGCGTGAAGGAGCGTTCGTAACACAGAAGACTAGAGGGAGGGTATGTGAAGCGTATAGTAGATGGTGGTGGTTGTCGTCAAAGAGTGGTGGAGGCTGGGTTGCTCCAGTGGCGTATTATGCATCGCACATCCGGCGGTGCTGGTGGCCACTAGAACATTCGTTCCCGTTTAGGCATTCCGGGAAAACCCCGAGCTGACTAAGTCGTGGACGCTATATATGGCAATCCCCTGTAACCACTGCCGGTGAGTGCAGTACATACTTACTTATGCAGCACGCTAATGGTGTGCAGGACGCACGTCCAGCCTTCTGGCTCTTTCGGCATACTGTCGAGGAGCATCCAAGAATATTCAGCGTGCACCTCGCTGCAGGCTCACCAGTGTGGGCTAGGGTGCTGTGGCGTGTCCAGCCTTCATTAAATGGCGCCAACAAACTATGCAATTCGCCAAGCACGATGGATAGAGCATGTGCTAGATTCTCGGGACTTACCATCATGGTCCTCGCACATATATACTTCGGGACGCACGACGCAACGTATAGCTTCAATGTTCAGTACTTCTCAACGGTCCGATCCACACCTTGCGTTCCCAAAGGTGCATGCGATGGCTTCTGACTCGACTGGTTTGGTCGATGAACTTGGGGGCGTCTTCAGGCCCCTCCGAGTCGGGCTGAACTCTGCATTTGATGTCTGGGAGTCGGACGGGCTCCAGCCCCAGTGCGCCGATGTTCCGGAATATCGGATGTGAAAGCCTTAACTTAAATGTTCCCGGAGCTGGCCCAGTGGGCAACGTCTGTCGAGCCAGTTTCCAGGCCTCACACTACAAATGCGCTGCATCAACCGCCACAGCGCCGCTGTTCGTTACTCCCTCGGACAGCTCGATCGCATCAAGAAGCCTCGCCAAGGACTCGATCGTGGTTGCATTCTGTTCCCTCCTGGTGAGACGCCGGTGGCAAGAGAGGTCGCTCTATCTCCCCTGCTCATCTTCCCGCCGGCTCGACTGAGCATCTGTCCGGTATGCGTTCGGGGGTCGATCGCATTCCGAATCGCGGACTCAAAGCGCTCCCGGAGGCTTCTCAATCGATCGCAATCGTAGGATGCGCGATCATTACACCTGTGGTTCCATAAAGTCAATCGAGATAGAGCGCGGGGCTGAGCCGCGGGATTGATGCCACTGAGTACGCAATCGCAATCACATTAGGGACCTCGTATAGGATCTTCTGTTCGCTGCCAAACAAGCGTCCCGTATAATTAATTGAGCATACCATACAATAGGGTCCGCAGAGTCTAGCGACGTATTTTGGCTTCGCGCGCGCAAGTCCGTGGTAGCGGATGCACTCTCAATGCGATTTCTTGGACTGAATATGGTGCGGCGAGCGTTGGAGGAACTTCCAAGCACCCGGCATACCGAACTGTAAAGAGGCGCTCCGACGGTTACGCAATCGTCTCGTAGAGGCCGAGCGCCAGACGTACCTGAACAGCCGGATACAGAACGAGCACACAGGCGCCGAATGCCCAAGCCCACTTCACTGTCGTCGGCAGAGGCGTCGGGAATTGACCCTTACTCCATTTCGTGATCGCGAGCAGTTCTGTGCCGATGGTAGCGAGTAGGAGCCAGACATGTTGCCCCATACGGACGGCTCTCCTAGACAAGGGCCACGAATAGATAGCAGTCTTTGAGTGGCGTGCGGTGATCGCTACATGCGCATACGCACCTTGGGTCATTGACGTATTGGTAGAGCTCTCTCACGGCGGGAAGCGCGCAGAGGAATACACCCGCAAGACGCGCAATTACAAATGGGTGATCGGGCTCCATCCAGAGAAGGGTCTGCCAAATGCATCTATCAGTCAATGGGCCACAGAAATGAGCAGAGCATATCAGGTCCTAACAAACCTTCAAGTAGAATGGATTGAGTTCAGCCGCAAGGAACACCACGAGGAGTAGAACAACCGTGAAATAGTGTCCGAAACCTGCTGTTCCTTCCCACTGGAAGGTTGTCCAGTCGGCAGGAGAGAATTGGCTGAAGACACGCTTCGTCTTCGACCGCAAGCCACGCGTCTGTTTCAGACCGCGCCACGTATAGTGCTAGTTTTGGCTGTTAGAACCGCGGACCGGACGGAACGTATCGGGGATGCTCACTTTCACTTCGAAGTAGTGACAAGTCTTCATCCCTGCAGTTGAGTGAGCGCCAGGAAGACTTTCGCTTTGCAGTACTTCGTCCCCTACCTAGGTAGATTCCAAGCCAATTGCAAATAAGCACATCAAGGATCCACTAGGGT